GCACTTCCAGGCATGTTTGAACTGGTTCTTACTTCAGATGAAAGGGGGCATACAGCAGGCATAAAGAGCAGCCATACTGTGTGAGACAGCTGGCCCGATCAATCCAAGCACATTATCCTTCACGGTCTCTTCCCCCAAAGGTGTCTTTCACCTGAAGACATTTCTCTTTCTTCCCTTTTACTTTTAATCATTTCTCGCCTGAGGATCAGTGCTAGAGCTAGCACACCCTAAAGCTACAATATTTTTTTCAGTGTTCTTATTACTACATCATAAAGGGAAAGAAGCAATGACCTTGATACCACTGTTCCATAATTACGTGCCCAAAAGGGCATGTTCTGTTCTGAACAGCGCGTCGCCTGAAATATGTTGTGCTCTTTTAATCCGTAATGTAGAGGGAGGCACTCATTTGGCAAAAAAACAGTAAAGACCTAAATCAACCTCACCACAACAGACTCTGCAGAGAGAGGAATTTGCCATAATAGCTTTGATTACTGAAAATAAAAAGGTGGCAGGCTGGAAATATTATCTGAGTCGGTGCAATCAGGGGTATTTGGTGAATTTGGACTTGGGATCATGATGGGCGACAAGACTATATACTTATGAGTGGGTGGGTGTGTTTTCAAAGGCTTGCAATCCAATTTAGGTAAGAAAATGATAAAGAAGAGGGAAACTGTTTTGTTCTTGGGTTTTTTTTGCCAAAGTGCTTGTTGAAATCAGAACAGCACCAAACCATCTTTAAGCACTACCCCACAACATTAAAAAACGAGCAATTCCTAGACAAATCCCCTAATTTATATCTAACACAAGGGCATACTTCACCTACTCAATCCAGCTCTCCTTGTTTGTACTGGCTCACGTTCCTCCCCCACAGTAAGTAGATGCAGCAAGTCCTTATACTAGTGTTACTCATAATACAGTTAGACAAGACATTGGATATCCATTTTTGGGTCTCTTGAGCTTTTATATTCAGCAATTGAACTGAATTGGGACCACGGCCTTGAGAGCCAGTATGGTGTTAAGAGTTTTGGACTACGATCAGGAAGACCTGGGTTCAAATCCCCCCTTCACCATGAGCCTCATTATGAGATCCTGAGCCAGCTTGTTCACATGCTATGGTGAATGCATGTATGTCTTGCATGTACATGCTTACCTGCTTGTAAGACAGACCCAATATGTGTCTTCTTTACAAATGAAACCAGGGACCAGTACCTGGATAAATGTGGGGTTTGTAATACTATAATAAATAATAATATTCATGGCTTTGTACATAACTCCTTGGAATTTAAAATAACTCTTTATGCAGATGATCTTTTATTATTTATTTCAGAATCTCAGTCTTCCATTCCTGTGTTAATGAATATGATTAACACCTTTGGAGACTTGTCTGGATAGTCAATTAATTGTGCAAAATCTGAGTTGATGCCACCGGGAGACAATATATCACGGAGTGTATTTGCCTATGGACATTTTTGGTGGTGCCCAGATGTCATTACTCTTCTTGGGATACTGATTCCTAGAGATATTACGCATATGATTATGTTAAATTTTAACAAGTTAATTGTTGATTACTCATATAAATGTTCTATGAGAACATTCATTGATTTTTGAGAATGCTTATATACCTTTAAACTATCTGCCTGTTTCTTCAAGATGGATCAAGATAGGTTACCGTGTTAGTCTGTAGCAGTAGAAAAGAGTAAGAGTCCAGTAGCATCTTAAAGACAAATTGTTTCTTGGAAGCTAACTGATGGTCTTGAGAGTCCTTGGACTGCAAGAAGATCAAATCAGTCAATCCTAAAAGAAATCAACCCTGACTGTTCCCTGGAAGGCCAGATAATGAAACTGAAGCTCAGATACTTTGGCCACCAAATGAAAAGGGAGCACTCACTGGAGAAGACCCTGATGCTGGGAAAGATTGAAGGTCAAAGAAGACGGGGACGGCAAAGGATGAGATGGTCAGACAGTGTCATCGATGCAACGAACATGAAGTTGAGCAAACTTCAGAGGACGGCGGAAGATAGGAAGGCCTGGCGTGATCTGGTCCATGGGGTCACGAAGAGTCGGACTCGACTGTGCGACTGAACAACAACAACTGATGGTCAGTTAGCTTGTTAACTAAATGGACACTCCATGCCTTCACTACAGCTGCAAGACTCATAATACAATGCTGGAAAGATAAAAACCCACCTCTGGTATATTTATGGACCTTAGAACTCTTATCAATATTTGAACACAAGTCATACAGACAGCAACTGTGCGTGGACATTTTTAGATATTTGGAAACAGTTTATAGAAACCTCTGTGTAATTCTGCCACCACTGTTATATTTTTGTCTTTAGTTAATGTAGGTTGTTTCTTCCTTCTTCTTTAACTTTATTTAGTTGCTGAATTTTACATTTCCCTCCTTATTCTTTTTTCTGTGATTTTTTTTAAAGAAAGGAATTTTAAAAAAAATCATTTCATTCTGCAATCCACTGTTTAACTGGTCATCACCCAGGACAGCTCCACATTTTATGCAGCAGACATCATTCCTATAGGGCGTAGGCAAACTGTTATGTGCTGACGTTTTGGGCAGCAAAGTGTAGACAACATACCCATGTGGACAGTATACTTACACACACACACCAGGAGACCCGAGGTACAATCAGGATTCCCAGGTTCATGCATACTTCATGTTTTCCTGCAGGGGTAGATGGTATAATAGCCGTGTACCCCACAGTGATGGTCAGAGCTACATAAAGCATACAGCTTCCCTCAGTGTGCTGCATCTCATCACTGACTGGGTGCTTTTGTTCTGTTCCATGTACAACAAATTATAAATGGAACCATTCTGCTATTTTCTTTTTTCCTCAGGTTCACCCGCTTGTGCGGGAGGAGCCCTTGCTGCTGCAATAGTAGACCCAGAATTGCTGTCTTCCCTCCCGGGGTTCATCCTAGCTCTCACTGCAAATGGCAAACTGGCTTATATCTCTGAGAATGTGTCCAACTTCCTTGGTTTTTCTGTGGTAAGCATAGGATGTTAACAGACATGAGGCAACCAACTTTGCCCTCTTATCTGCATGCACTTCAAGCTTAGACATGTCAGAAATATGACAAAGTTATGTTGCAGCATCACTGACCATTGATCCATCTAGCCAGAACTATGCCGTTTGAGATCTTAATTATTATTTTTTTAGAGAAGAAAGGGAGGGGAGTAATTCTTACCAAGTCCTCACTCTTCACACTGTTCCTAGGGTCCACCAGCCACTGAGGGCAGGACTTGGGTGGAACCATGGAAGTCTTCAATGGGAAGGCAGAGGTTGGACAGTTCCCCTCCTTGAGCACTACAGAACTCACATAGCATACGATCCAAACCAGGGGTTGGTATAGTAGCTTTTCTCGAAATTCTCCATCGAGGAGTTTCCCAACCCTATTTGTTTCGAACTAGAGATTACAGAGCTTGAAACTATATGCAAAGAATGTTTTCTACAGCTCAGCGATGGCTTCTGCCCTGAAAATCTATGCAATGCACTACTTCTGAGAACAGATGGCAAAAAAATGCTATGCTATATACGTTCGTAATTGCCATCTGTATAGATTTCTATCCCCAAGCCTGTACAGGAATGAGGGAGAAACCTATATTTTTTCAGTACATTTAACAACAACCCAGAGAGGTAGAGTACTCTCTCTAGATTCAGAATAGCCACCAAAATCCATTTTAACTGGATCCCCAAGGGTGGGATTCCAAACCTTTAGGTTAGCCTCTGGGACAGAACACACTAGCACCTCCTCAGAGATGCACATTTAATCCTCAATGGTAGCGTGTGGCCAGGTAGGCACAGGAAATAGGCTTGGAATCCAGCTACAATATCAAAACAAGTTAGAAACAAGAATAATATTTTATTCAGTACATAGCTTTGCAATTAGACTAATAAGAATTTCAAAACAAGAAAGACTAGGGCAGTTTTTGCCTTCACTACACAGTAAGAGATATGCATAATTACCAGGATGATCCATAGCCCAAGAATGTCCAGGTATACAGTCCAGTTAGACACCAAGGGATTCTGAGGGAAAATCCCCCTTGTGCACCAGCCATGTGCTCAGCTTCACAAAGGAGGTCTTTGTTTCACTTGGGACAGCATTCCCAGGTGGAATTCAACAAGCAGAGAGAGAGCAAGAACAGAGAGCTCTCTTCCAAGGGACCAGACAATTAAACCCCAATCTAATCATGACTAGCCGTGGCCATCAGCCAATCACGAGTAGCAGGGTGTGTGACCAATTTTTTGGTTGTCATGGGGACAACTGGGGATAGGCTGGAAGTTTGGAAAACCACGCCTGCAGTCACATGGCCCCCAACTCCAGCTTTTCCATGATGTATGTGACATGGCCCATGTAGCCTTAAAGCAGGCGCCTTGAAGTCTAGCTCTTCCACTTAGAGGTGTGAAAGAATATGTGGTTATATGGCATGCTATTGAGGCCATCTGGCCTCAGCATTTGGCTTGTAAGAGGAAACAAGGTACAGCGTTATCAGCAAGACATCCCAGGGGAAGGCAGGGGACATTTAGAAATTAATATTTCTATACAATCAAGTCGCAACCAACCTGTGGTGACCCCAGCAAGGACCTTTCCAGGCAAGTGAGAAGCAGAGATGGTTTGACAATGCCTTCCTCTGCAGCGTCCTTCTTGGCGGTCTCCCATCCGAATACTGACCCTTGCGTAGGTCTGAGGTCTGCCAAGATTGGGCTCTACCCTCCTGCTATATGTGTGTGTGTGTGTGTGTGTGTGTGTGTGTGACTGAAATAGGGCAGAAAACTGATAGCTGCTAGAGCTTTTATTAGAACCCAGAGAGTTCCAGGTTTTCCCTTTAAACACTTTTCTAGCTATTGTGACTGCAATTTTAAAATAAAATGTCAAAATGCTGAACAATTCGCCATTCAGAAAATGAAGCAAAATATTTGCTTGTACTCTTTTCCCAGGTAGAGCTCTTAGCCCATGGTGACTCCATCTTTGACCTTCTGAACAGCACTGCAAGTGGGACCATGCAGGAGAAGCTCTGCTTTGCTCAGCAGCAGCCAGGCACTGGTAAGGAAATGAACATGGTTGCCAAAACACCTGAAGAAGAATGTCCCTTGAACAGAGGCCTAATGGGCTGTTCTTTACCAGGTGATGTTCTTTACCTCCTTGCCATGAAAAGCTTCAGCTGCCATTTCCTCACATTATACCACCTCTAGTATAATGGGACAGGGCTTTTTTCTCCAGCTCAGTTGGCTACCCTAGTGGTAGTGGTGGGGATACATCACTATTTTAAAGGTGGTGATTTCTGCAGAGGGGAGATTCCAACTGCAACCAGGGCAATAAAGAAACCTCTTCAACATTTTGCACAACATGAAGGCTGAAGCTTTATGTACAAAAAAATGTAAATAGCAAAACCTTCAAAGACATTGTAAATACCTTCTAGCATTGTTTTTCTCTTAAGCACAGCCAAAATTCCTGTTCACAAAGTGTTAATCCTTTGCCTTGAGCAGTTTCTTGTTTCCTTTTAAAGAAATAAGTTATGCTAACTTACAATAAGGGATAACAAAAGTTTGAAAGAGGCAGTTCTGAACTCTCAATCTAGGTCAACAATCTGAATGCAACTTTTATTTTGCAAAAAGTTGGATTTTTTAAAAAGGGGATAAGTTGGATTAGTAAAGGGAACATGGAATCATAGTCATGAAAGTAGAGTAAAGCCATCCTGATCTGCTCATGGACCTTTAATCCTAGAGGAATAATTGTTCAAAAAAGATTTGGGCTAGCTTGCAATCAATCATGTACCACTAGTATAATTTTGACCAGGGCAGAGACCATTGCTCAGTGGTAGAGCATCTGCTTGGCATGCAGAAGGTCCCAGGTTCAATCCCCAGTAACTCCAGCTGAAAGGATAAGATAGTAGGTGATGTGAAAGACCTCTGCCTGACACCCTGGAGAGCTGCTGCCTGTCTGAGTAGACTATACTGACCTTAATGGATTGATGGTCTGATTTAGTTAGAGATGTAAAATTTCCGGAAATTTTGAAGCTCGGAAAAAAAAACCATTTTTCCCCGTTTTGTTCCCGGGGAAAACGGAAATTTTCAGAAAAATTGAAAAAATACTACGTTAGCACTTCTTTTTTCTTTTCCAGATTGAAAGTCATTCTGTTACTTTAGGAACATAAAATATGACTATGGACATTTTCACTTGGCATGAAATTATCACAACTAGCATATTAAAAATATAGTGTATCCAAACAATTATTACAAACAGAATACCCACCCACATTCTTTTCTTGTGACAATAGCACCTCCTAAAGGAAGAAATGCATCTTGTTCTTGCATTGGAGAGTTCAGTTTGTAACCTAGGACTTGCTTGTCCTCAGTACACAGAAATTAGATCAATCTGATACCATACATATGTTTTAGAAATGATTTGAAAAATATTTGAACACCTTGTCTTAAAATATTTTATTCATCATGTTAAAATAAAATGTTCCATAATCAATTTTTTTCTTTTCTTTTTTCAATTTTTCCAATTTTTCGGGGGGAGGGAGGCTTCAGGGAAAAAATGGGGGGGGGGAATGTTTTCCCCCCGAATTTGTCCGGGTTTTTTCTGGGCCTTCACATCTCTAGATTTAGTAGAAGGCAGCTTCATATGAACATGTTGTTTGTTCTTCCTTTTGACGCTTTAAGTTGTGTTTATTCTCTCAGTTAATATTTGCTAATGTACAGAAATCATTAGGCAACTTTTTCATGATGTAACAAGAAACATCGGCTAACTGTTCCAAATCCCCGAGCTGCTGTTGAAAAAGCACAGCTACAAGGGCAATATGAGGTAGAAATACGTAGAGGTTTCCACAGACGTGGTGCGCCTGTAATAGAAAGTGAGGTTATCATTCAAATCTGAATTCACTTTTGACCTGACTTTGAAAGAGAGTCCACACATTAAGAGTTGCAAATAAGGCACTGGGAACCAGCCTCATTTGCAAGAGTGAGGAGCTAACCAATTTAGCTCCCAGTTTATTACTTTAATCTACATTTTTTCATGTATTTGGGAGAAATAATTCATCTTTCAATTTTAATATTGTCACACAATGTTTCAGGTGGACAACAGGCACAGAGCAGTTGATCTAGGAAGTCTTTACATATGGATTATAGTTTCTGTCCTTGAGAAAGTTACGCTTGCCAACAGGCCTAGAGAAAAAAAATATTTCTAACAGAAGCTTAACATGTGGAAATTGCTAGTTGAAGGTTGGCATGGCATGGATGTAAATAACAAGCTAGAAATAGCATCTGATTAAGCCTTTATTAAACAGACAGGACATCATTTCTCCCAGCAGTTGGTAACTGTGGAGGAAAAAGTGTTAAAAATGTTTTGGGGTAGCTTTCTGTCAATCATGTAGTATCATTTTGACCAGTATTCTCACCATTGATGCTTTAGGTTGTGCTTATTTTCCCTATTAATATTTGATCATTTATGTTTACAGTGCAAGACTAGGAATGTTTCTTGGGAGTAAGCCCTACTGAATATGCCTCACTAGGATTCTGAGTAGATCAGCTTAGAATTGCTGTCTTATTCACTGATATACATAACATTGACACTTAATGTCATGATGTTCATTCTTATTTATTGACCTTAGACTTTGTACAATTGTTCAATGACACACATGGGTCATATTTCTTGTTTTCAGGAATACTGCTTTTATATTTTGGTCTCTAATACTTGGTAGTTTTTCTGTGCCTGATTAGTAAAGGTCTGTTTCGTTTCTCCCCTATTATTCAAACATTACAAAATATACACAATGCCCAACGTTAAGATATCTGTACTGAGAAAATAATAATTTGAAAAGTTTATCTGATTACCTGTCAAAGGCCACATAAGGAGATAATTAGAGAACAGGGATTTAAACTTGGGTCCAATATAGGTCAAAATGTATCCCTAGTGTGTGACCTAAGGCTTTGAGATAGTTACTTAAACCCAGCCTGATTATTACTCTGGAACACTACACTTATTTCATTTAAAAAGGGTGTATAATTTTAGCTTTGTTGTTTATCTGTTAATATACTTTTGGAGACTGTAATGGATTTTAGCTTGAGGGTTTGGTTTTTTATTGTATCTTAAAGCCCTGCATTTTATATAATTTTGCATTTTATATAACTTTGTATTGTCTAAAAGTCTGTGAGCTGTATGGACACACCTGTTAATAAATTAAATGAAGTATCCCTATATTGTGAAGGACATTGCATTGCAGCGTGTCCCAAAGTGGACCCCATGAACTTCAATCTGGCTCTAAGCTACAAACATTCTATTTTTTTTATTGTTGCAGAAATTGAAGTTATCATTGAAATGCGCACCTCGAGAGCCTTGCGGGCAAGATATGGAGGGAGCTGTTGTGTGGCCTTGAGGGGCAGATTTCTTTCGCTTGACCCACAATTGACTTCCTCGTCTCCCATTTTGACTTTTGTTGCATTTTGCACACCGGTTGCACATCTGCCTGAAAACGGAGATCATACTTCTCAGAAGTTGTCATTCCAGAGTCTGCACACACTGGATATGAAGACTGCAGAGGTTACTGAAAGGTTAGAGACACTTGCTGCTTAGGCAATTAATAGGGTAACTATATGGATGCAGGTGCCAGAACTGGCCAAACATGAAAATCAGCATGGCACCTGTGTTTTAACGGCAGCTTTACATACATACAAGCAGCTGATTGTGCTCATCTTCATAGTATGAAAGGGTTAATCTGCTAATACTTGTAAACTGAGTTGCTGTTAAAGGCACAGAAAAAGAAACGCTAAATAAGTTAGCAAACTTATTCTGGGTAATGGTTCTTACTTGCAAGGAATATGCAATTGCTGCACATATGTTGTGCTTCCCCACTCCATTACTGACTCATTTCCTTTATGTTTTTTCTTTCTTCAGTGTTATTTACCATCTTGGTTATCACAAAGAAGAACTGATTAACCAGTCTTGGTACAGACTCCTGCATCCTGAAGATATTTGCAGCGGTGCAGAGTTACACAAGGCCCTGGGTGAGAGCTGTCCCTTGAACAGAGAAGGGGCAGGAAGGAACATGTTCCATTAAATGCAAAAGTTCAAGGAAGATTGGACAATTATACTATGGCAGGAATAGATATAGTGAGGGGTCTAAAGAGTCCATTTCTCTTGTTTCAGTCTAGCCACCACCTCCTCCCACAAGAGACAGTTGGTTCTGTGACAGTAGATCAATAGATTTGCTACTGTGTTGCTTACACAATATTTCTGATGTAGTGTAGTGTAAGAGTATGGACTGAGTCCACAGCTCATCTTGGGTAAAAATGTACTAGACCAGAGGTGTCAAACTCATTTGTTACAAGGGCCGGATCTGACATAAATGTCACCTCATCAGGCCGGGCCATGTGTGCCATAAAAGGTAACGGCAGGTACCAGAGATATAAACTTTATAAAGGACACCAGTAAACCCAATTAACAATATTATTTTTTACTCAAAATACAGACAAAAGCAATTGATTCCTAACAGTGAAAGTAATTGATTTACTGGGGAACCACAAAAGCCCCAATAAATGTATTTAATCATATGCAAGACTAGTTTTCCCCCAAGTGATACCATAAAAGGAGGAGTACCTTACGTTTCCATACATACCAGTTGCTTGTGGGCCAGGTAAGAGCCCTGGATGGGCCTGTTCTGGCCCCCGGGCCTTGTGTTTGACACCCCTGTACTAGACAGTTTCAGGTAAGTCACGGTTCTCTCAGTCCCTGCTCAGCCACAATGCGGCTGACCAACTTTACATAGTTTTTCTACGGATTACTTAGCTAACATAAGTGAGATGCCTTGAAATTATATAGATTAATATTGTTACATAAAACTAAGCTCTTAAGCAAGGTATTTTCCTCTGTCACTGTGTAATAACTGCACTAGCTGCCACTTGAATTTCCCTTTCCTCATTCCCTTATTTATCACTCCCTGCTAAGAATGTAAGTGCCCTGCTGGATCAGACCAGTGGCCCATCTAGTCCAGTATCCTGTCTCACAGTGGCTGACCAGTCACTGTGCAGAGCCAACAACAGGACATAAAGGCCAAGATCTTCCCCTGATGTTGCTTCCTGGGTCTGGGATTCAGAGGTTCACGGCTTCTGAATATGAGGCTCCCTTATGTTACTGTAACTAGTAGACACTGATAGACCTCATCCTCTATGAATCCCACCCTCCACACCAGTCTCACTCATCTAATAAAGACTGTAAGAGCTCTGCAACATTTCTGCATTCCTTGAACAGCATCCAACAGACTGTTGGCATGGTATAAATGTGTACACTAGTAGTAGTAGCTGTGGTGATCTGGAGTATAGCATAATGAAGCTGGAGATCTCTAAGTCAAATTTCTGCTCTGCCACAAACTCAGAGGATGATCTTAGGCAAGCCAATATTGCTCAGCCTCATTTTATAAGACCAAGGATTTATGAGGATAATACTGCATGACCTGCCCTACGGAAGCATTGTGAATAACACTGAGATAATGTATGTAAATGCTTTGAGTACTTAGGGAAAGCTTCATATAAACACTGTTATTATTAAAAATGCACTCAAACTGAAGCTTGAGCATGTTTTGTAAATGTTATGAAGACTGATTGTTTGAGCTGACCTTCAGTACATCGGGCTAAAGGTGCACTGTTGGGCCTTCTCTGAACTCAAAGCAGGACTGGTTTTTTATGCTGTTTGGGTCCTATTCTTCCAGGTATTCTGTTTGCTGGTATGTAGTTGAATTTCCTGTGTTGGACGATGTAGTTGTTGAACCAGTCCTGCTTTCTGTGTCACTGCTTTCAGAGGTGAGATGGGTGGCGACTAAAAACAGGGCATTTCCTGTGGTGGCATCGCACCTCTGGAATGCCTCCCCCATGAGGCTCAACTGGCACCTACTGTACTTTCTTTTAGGTGCCAAGCTAAATACATCTTTTTACTCAGGTTTTTAATTAGGGGTTTTATCTTACCAGCTTTTTAACATTCTGCTTCTGTTTTATGGATATGATGCTTATGTCTAAAGGCTTGTGTTTTAATGAGTTTATATGGCGGTTTTTAATTGTAAGGCACCTCGAGGAGGACTCTGAAGAGGCAACATCAAAACAGTCTAAATAAATAAATGTATCATTTTTTGTAATTTCAGTGCACGGTGCTGAACAAGGCAATCAGCATGTCGTAGTCCGTATGCTCTGCAAGGACCTGAGCTGGGCTTGGGTGCAAATCATTGCATCAAGGGAAAATGGACAGGCAGGAGAACTGATCATTTGCACCAACCATATACTCAGGTAGAATCCCTAGTCAGTCCTATGCAGTCTGTCTGATAAGGGCAAGAAGAAAGAAGTTCAAGTATTCAATCCTTGGAGCTGTAAAAATGTGTGTGCAGCTTTAAATTCTGAAGGGCAGCCAGAGAAGAATCAGCTGCAGTTTCTCCCACCTGATCCTTTCTGATCCCATCATTTGTTCCCATTTTGCCATCTATTGTTATGAGCAAGACTCTGGGCTGTGCTGCATTACTGGCAGGAGAGGGGGGCAGATGAAAAAAAGCAGGGGAAGCAAAAGAAGTGGGGAGTTAAAATTATATACATGATATGGGATGTAGGCCTAGTCGAAGACCTCGAGAAGGGGATTAGGTCAGCAGGCTCTAACACTGAAGGCTACTCCTTTGTCTTTTTTAAAGCTCTACCACAGGAAGAAGTAGAGCAAGCACGGATTCTTCCCCAAATCACAACATGGCAACAGGGGAAGACATCTCTTTGTGAAAATCATATGCTTTGTGTCAGAAACTGGGAACCCTATATAAAGAAGTTCTTTTGGCCTTCTTCTGCACAGAGGCAAGCCCAAGGGACTAGCATTGCCAACCTCCAGGTGGTGGCTGGAGACCTCCCCACTATTACAACTGATCTCCAGGAGATGGAGATCAGTTCACCTGGAGAAAATGGCTACTCTGGAATGTGGACTCTATGGCATTGTACCACACTGAAGTCCCTCCCCTCCCCAAACCCCACCCTCCTCAGGCTCCACCCCCAAAGTCTCCAGGTATTTCCTAACCAGAGCTGGCAACCCCACAAGGGACCATTTTTACCCATCGCAATACAGCCAATGTTAACAAAAACAATGGAGAGGTGGGTCAGAGGCTGAAGGATAATTTGCTTATTAGATCATGCAGGAACTATGAATAGAGTTGTGGCTGACTGGATGGAACTTATGATGTAGGAAGCTTCTCTTGTTTGAGTATGAGGGACAAATTTTCTCCCTTCCTATATACACCTCTGATCTGGACCTTCAAGCGATGGCAGTGTAATTTAACCCATGTACTTCTTGGAGATGTGTGTTAAACATGAAACAACTAACTTCCATGGGCCCAAACCTAGATGGCCCAGGCTAGTCCAATCTCATCACATCTAGGATCAGAATGGACCCTTAACAGAAAAATCACATTGCAGACAAAATTATAACTCTCAGAATTCTTCTGGGGAGCCATGACAGTTCAGTTTAAAAGCAGTTTAAGGCCATCCTCACAAACTGTGCTTCAATTTTTGCTAAGGCAGCCTTATATTAAGTCGGACCTTTGGCCTACCAAGGGCAGTATTCTCTGTTCTGACTAGCAATGGCTCATCAGGGTTGCTTGCTTGTTTTTCATGTGCTATGTCTACAGTTTGAATGTAAACCCCACAATGGCCAAAACGTACATTAGTTTGTTCTGCCTTCTTTATTCAGAACACTCACAAGTAATGCATCCCAGTCTGAACAAAATTTGTAGCCTCCTTTGTGAAACTGACTTCCAATGCTTGTTCCAATCCACAGAGAGGAAGAAGCCTTGCATATCCGGAGCAAAAAGCCACAGCCTGCAACTTTTCCCCCAGCTGCTCTGAGACAGTGCACCAGAGAAACAGAACAGCAGACACAGCCAAATGAAATTAGCGTTTTCCCTCAAGAGCCAATGATGCCCAGGGATAGGACACTCCGGTATGATCACTGCCAGACTCTTGGTGCCTGCGCCAAGAAGATGCTCCCGGCTCCTCTCCAGCCTCCACTTCCTACTACTTTCCCTGTCTCCAGTTCAGCCAACATGCAGACCCCTCTTTTCCCTGCTGATTGGCACAAGAATCCCTCCTGCACAGACAGAGCCAAGAGACTGCCCTCCTTGAGCCCTTGTGCTCTCTGCTCCCCAGAAAGTACATTTTCTCCTGCCAGCAGCCCTTCTGCAGACTTTTCTCCACTACCCCCATCAACAGACATGTTCCCAGCAATGGATACAGACTCTGACCCAGACAGATGGGCCATCAGTGTGCTGGCTGATCAGATCCACTCCCTGGCTGAAATCTTTTCTCAGTACACAAAGCAGACCCCCCCGGAGATTCCTCCCAGCATTCCCCTGTGGCCTTCTCAGCCTCCTGAGAACTCTCAGACTAACAGAGCTCTCGATGTCACAGAAGAACTCTCTGTGGACGAAGAAGTCATCACAGCTATCCTAAACAACCTCCTGGACAACGGCAATTTGAACCAGTCCACTTCTGAGCTAGGAACAGCAAACAACTTTCACGTATCGGACTCTGAATCCCACCTTTCTTTACTCCAGACACCCCTAACAGAAGCACCCCCTTGCCTCAACCAGTGCCTTTCCCGGCCGCTTTTGTCTTCCTCTGCATCAGCTGATTCCTATGTGCCTGACTCTCAAAGGGATGCAAGATTTCATATTACATTCCACCAAGGTAAGGAGGGCTTGGACTAAGTTTCTATACTATAAAGAGGGATCCAAATCTAGGCCAGTTCCTCATAAGAACATAAGAAAAGGCCTGCTAGATCAGACCAGTAGTCCATCTAATCCAGCGTGTTTCACACAGCAGCCAACCAGTGTCCTAGAGAGTCAAATAAATAAGGCCCTCCCCTGCTGCTGCCTCCCAGCATTATTTAGAGGTTTGCTGCCTCAGGAAATGGCAGCTCCCTTCCAATTTGTCACCGACCAGGCATTCTCTTTGCCCAGAGAGTTTAAATTCACCACCACCGTTTTTGAGGATTAAAATACTGAAAGTTTGGAGGAAAGGAACATGGTGTGGTTTAGCCTCCAGGACCTAAGCTAGGCATTGGTTAGGAAACTTTGGCTTCTGCTGGATGCTTAAAGAATGGTTGGGGGAAGGGAGTGCAGGTGAGAATTGATGCACCAAGGAGGGCTGCTGAATAACTTTTCTCATTGTTTCTCCTGACCTCTGCATCTTTCCCCTTGCTGCTTTCTAGATGTTTGGATGGACACTGAAACTCCATAACTTGCATTTCAGTCAGCAAATGTACAACTCTCTTCTCAAAAATAGGTGGTATATGAGAGCTAATCTCTTAACTTCTGCATTATTACAGTAGCCTACAATCTTCACCGTAAAATAGGGCAAGCACATCAAATGGGACTGAACTGAAAAACAAATTGCACACTTGAGCATAGCTCTTTCTCACCCTGATCTCTCAGCCTTTATATAGGGTGACGTCAGTGAGTATGCATACCAAAAACCCTTTAAAATATAATTATTTTTCTGTGACACAGTATGCAGCTCAAGCAGTCAGAGGATGTCAGAAAAGCAAGCAAAGGAATATTCTCATGGTCTCTAGAATCCTTCAGGCTTCTCAACAAAAGAACATTCATGTAGGTAGTACTCTGGGTCAAAGCAAACATTATATGGGGGACCCATGATCCAGATCTCCATTAAAAACATCTGTAAGCAGTCACAGAGGGCTCCAATTTGAATCAGAAGCCAAGGAGGGTGATGGCACAATTCCCTTCCCACCTCCTGCTATTAGCCCCACAAAGGTAAAAATACACATCCCTACAGGTATCCCCCCCCCCAATTTGTAGACCTAACATCAGTTTGGGGGATTCTGTTTGAGTACCTTGTTGCTCAGTAAAAGAAATGGAGTGCCCACCCACAGATACGTTGAAGTAAAATAGCAAACAGAAAGAACACAGAGTGTTTATCCTGAAACCTGATGCAAACTATGAGTGTGTGGAAATAATATTAAGCATGGAACTTGAAAGTGGGGGTGGGGAATACAGGCAGGTATGTGTATTTTTATCTTTCCGAGACTAAGTGTGTGTGTGTGTGGGGGGGGGCTGGGGGTGAGAGAAACAGCACAGTTACCCTCCTTGGTCTCTGATCAGAACTGGAGCTCTCTGTGACCACTCTGACATACACAAACGATGCAAAAAACGAACCAGAAACAGAAGCCAAGCCACCAAAATCAAGATAATAGACACAATAAGCAGTTTAATAGAGTACAGTCCTATACCCTTACAAAAGCACCCTCTTGAACCAGTCCATCATACTAATGATCTATTTCCTTCATTTAAAAAACGCTCCCCTGAACATTTCTGTGAGTAGTCCTGCTTTAACTCGCTCCCATAATCTCTCAGATTTCTATTTAAAAATAGAGCATGGTGATACTACGTAGACAACTGTTCTGTGAGTCTCTATGTGCCTAGAGGGCTGCGAGGGACGTCAGGATTCTATGGTTGTGTTCATCAAACGAGGAGAGTGGAGCTGATGTAGTGCTTTTAAGAGAGCTCATGGCAACGGCGCCCACTCGGTGCTAATTTGTTAAAGGCTGGCTAGCAAGCGCTGTGTGAAGAACTCGGTTACAGCGCGATCCAGAGATTACCCCCCCGTGTTCTAACCAGCTCGTCTTGTACCTTCTTTCTTCATGCAGGTGTCCCTCCAGAGGAGGCCATGTTCTCCTGAACCTACCACGTGCCTGAGAAAGTCCCAGAGCCAGCTGTGTATCTCCACTCACGTCGCACTGATTTCAGTGGCGTGGTCAAAAGTGTTGCCAAAAATACCGGGCGGGGGCAGAAACCACTAGCTGCTAGTGAATGGGAGAAACTGGCAAAACACCATAAAGAAATACCAATATACCTCATAGTGCTAGGGTTTCATTGCCGCTTCGCGTCTTAACGCCGGCTGCTGGCAGACAACGAAGCCCAAGGAGGGACGTCAATCGTTGACGAGAAGCAGCCTGCAGGGGGTGCTGCAGAGGCGTTCCCATGGGAGGGAGGGCTCTCCCTTGTAAATAAAGGCTTTAAAACGCTCTGGCCTGTCTCTTCGCAGTTAATTTCTGATGTACACTGGGAAACAGACAAGGAGGGCCGGGCGGGCAGGTAAGCAAGCACTGGTGGCGAGCTTCCAGACACCCCGAGAGCCTAACCGGCGTGCGCACGCGCCATCCCGTGGCCGACGTCACAGTGCTTCCTGAATTGCGTGCCCCGCCCTTTGTGACTCCCGCGAGCGTGTCTCTGTCCGCGCTCGTTGCTAAGAAACCGGAAGGAGCAGTGGCGGCGTGGCCTACGGGCTCAGTGTGTGGAAGCAGGCCAAGGAGAGGGGCCTTGAGTGTTGCTTTGAGGGGATGAGCCTGAAAGCCCGTGAACAACAGGTAGAAGAACTCGCGTCTGGCTGCCGCCCCCTGGCTCTTCACGTGTGCCTTTCCGAGGCCCGCCCCTTTCTGTGGCCGGTTCTTGTGCCCTTTGCTACTTCTGGGTTCTAGGAGGGGGGGAAGAAAGACGGGATTGTGGTTGGCAAGGTCGGACCGTGGACAGTTGGGAGGGCTCCGCCCGCCACGTGCCTGGTGGTCTCGCTGGTCGGTTAGGCTGGTTAACTATAACTGGGTAGCTCTTTAGAGGCGGCCTGCCTCTGAATATTGGGCGCAAACGAGGGAGGGAGATTGCTTTCAGTCCCCTTTTGTGGGTTTTTGGAAATATGTGGCTGGTCAGTATATCGGAAACATGATGATCCCCTGATTTAATCCAGCATGGTCATCCTTGGGTTCTTTCGATGTCATGCTTCACAGACTCGAGTCCTGCAACTTACTTTGGAATCCACACGTCTGAGTGACTGAAGAAGAGGCCCCTCTTAGCTCTGTGTGCTGCCTAGGCTGTCCGCTGCCTCATCTGCTAAGGGTTGTCCGTATTCAGGGGCATAATTTTGCAATTTCTATACCGCACTTCCTATTTTTGCTCGTTTGTAAACTTCCCTATCGATAGGATATAGCCAGTAGTTTGAGAATCCATATGAGAAGGGGCCTCTTTAGGCAATCTGATTCTCTGCTTAATAGTGGAAATCTGAAACTGCAGTATTTCTGATAGATGGCTGTCTGGCCGCTGCCTGAATTAGGCACACAGGGAGGGAGACAACGCCTCCCCCCTCTGCGATTTAGTAATCAGTTCCATTGTCAGACTGCTGGTTGGTGCATAATTAAGAGAAAAACAAAAGGTCTGTACCAGTCACCAAGAAAAAAGTAGGCAAAAAGCCAGTGATTCAGAAGAAAAGCACAGATATTTATTCCAGATATTCTGCTATGTTTCTCTCCTAATATATGTGCACTTTTATTGCACCATTAGCTGTATCTCATACTAATCAGATATATGAGTGTTCCTGAGGAATAATCCCATTTGGTCAGAAACACTGGGAGGAGTTACTCTTCCCCCTTCATTAGTGGCACCTCTATCCCTGTTTCAAGCATACTGGCAGTTGAACAGAACCGTATGTCTTTTGTAAAAAAACCCCTCATTTTCCTGTTCCCGTCCCTTTAAGACAACATGAGGTTCCCAGGGTTTTTTTGGGGGGGGGGAACACAGTTTTTTGTGCCTTCACCAGCTCAGTTAAAGGAACAGTACCAAGGTGCAACTCTGTACCCTAAAAGAAGGGGCAAAACATCTGAATCTCCCTGTTTGCTAGAAAATCACCATAGCCATTTTTTTCACATGGGCACAGGTTTAGTTAGTAACAGATGCATAACAGGCACATAAAGCTTTTTCCATTACTTAATTTCTGGTGTAATAAAAGCAATACCTTTTAATTTCTGCCTGTTATGCAACTATTACATGTACAGAGTAATTATTTTTAAAAGTGGCATCCCTAGGCTACTCTTTATTTTATATCCTTACAACAGGATCTCTTCAACCTAGAATCCTAGAACTGTTTGTAAGATATTCTCTGCATTCAGCTAGAATGCCTGACTGTTCTCCCTGACCCCTGTCTCACCCACATTCCTATGAGCAGTTAAAGGAGGGTTCTTGCTGCTTAGTTCCACATAACATTATCCAATGCTTTTCTCTTAAGGGTGTTTACTATTTTAAGGATATTCAAAGTAATTTGTTACTCAGACAAGCATGCATTCCCCCCCTCCCTGTATGAGACTGTCTTTAGAACATAGAGATGTAACTCAATGGAACTCTTCCAATCTATAGTAGTGGCCTTTTTACCAAGTTAGTATTGGTAACCCTGATGCCTCCACCTCAAAAGGGCATTTAAGATAGTTGGTTATGCCACATGCTTTATATTATTATTGTCCATTGCTGTATCTGTTTCAGATATTGTAGCTTGAGCTACAGGTATTCAGTTCCGCATGATCTTGTGAATTGTCCTCTCAACTCACGTTCCTGTCCCTTCTCTACTAAGTTTTCCATACATTAGGTCTGGTTCAGAATTCATCCAGGTTAGAACTAAAGTGCTCTGTGGGATGGAAGAGATCTGCTTTGGTTCCAGAGGCTATAAATAACATCGTAAGAATTGCCTTCCTGGATCAGAACAAAGATATGTCTGGCTGCATCTCTTGGAGTGGCCAGACAGTTGTCTGCCTGTTGTTAGGTTGCTTGCATCCTGGTAGTTCTATTCTGGAGGTTCTGTTCTTAGCCATCATATAAACATGAGACGAATGCTGCTGGATAGGACCAAGGTCCATTGAGTCCAGCCTTTTACTTCCTTCAATTACCAGCCAGGTGCCCTGGAAGCCCACAAACCTTCTTCTCCCTGTCCCACTGTTCCCCTCATAGACAATATTTAGTGGTGTACTGTTTCTAACCAGAAGGTTCCTTTTTCTAATGGCTGTTGATAGAACTTTCCTCCTCCATGAATTTGTCTAATCCCCTTTAAAAGCCGCCTAAGCCATATATCTTGTAATACTTTAATAACCATGGAGCAGTTTTCAGAAAGTACCCAGTGATGTAAATGCCCATGAAGTTCTCAGAAAATACTCAGTGGTTTCTAAAGATATCAGAAGGTGGCCAGGGTGGGAGACAAACTGTTGTGCTGCATGGATCATTGGTTAAATCCAGTAGAACTATTTGCATATTTTATCCATCAGTCATAGATCTCTCCTCCCAAGGTTGCTGCACAAACTCAAATCACTTCAGCATATTAGAGCCCTATGAAAGAGACCCCCTTCTTTGTATAGGTTAAGCTTGGATACACTTATAAAGGCATATGTTCTGGACAGGATGCTGTGGAATGGACAGCCATTTGGGAAGCAGCAAAGCCGGCCGTGATCAGGTAGAGCTATAAAGGGTAGCAGCAAAGCTGACTGTGATCAGGTAGAGCTATAAAGGGTAGCTATGTTAGTCTGTTGCAGTAAAACGTCTGGAGTGTAGCTACTGAAGCTTATGTAACAATACTTTTTGAGGTGTCACAGAACTGTATTTTGCCTTTTATGGAAATGGCAGGAACAGCGAAAGAATTCTATCCATGGGATGGGAAACATCCATGGCTCACTTCTGACAACATGAAACTGTTCATTATTTAACCTGCTGATAGTTCGTAAAACCAGGGTTTTGCTCACAGAGGATCATTCGGTCCTGTTTTTTTACAAATCCTGGCTGCAGCTCCTCCATCTTTGTGTTCAAAAACTAGCCTGCTAGTCCAGCATGCACTGCACAGCAGTTGAAGGCCAAAGCTTCCTCACATCATCCAGTCATTTATTGTAGGGTGGTGACACTAAGGGTGGGGAAGCTGAAATCTGTCAGCACTGAAAGCAACTCCATAGTTCACACCTCCTTAAATTCCTAGATTTTCATATTAACTTTTTCCTTTATACCATTTTGTAAGAACAATCACACATACAGTCTCCTCCTAACTTCCCAAGTTTCCAACAGATACCAACCCACAACCCCCCGTTTCATCCCAAAGTCAGCATTCTTATTCCACATTCTGCTGCTAGAGCTCACCTACCACGACAGCAGTGAGACAGGTCTGGGGAACAATACTCTCCATGGGTGACAGGGGAAGGTGTGCATCCCCTGAAGTCACTTCCTTCAGATCCAAGGTGGGCTGCAGAGGTGCTGCCTTGCACCTTCATGCAGCCAGGCAGGTCTGGGGAGTGATCAGCTTTCCAGATCCTGCCAGTGATGGCACAGGTAGAAGGAGGAGGCATTAGCTCCACGGTGGCTGCAGAAGTGCTGCCATGGGAGCCTGTCTGAGAAACGGGTGGCACAGGAGGGGTGAGGGTCCTTTGGAGCAGCAAAATGCCATGAGCCACCCCAGATGTAGAGCATGCAAGCATTCCTGGGTTTTTTAAGATGAGCATGGATAGGGAGAAGGTAGTGAGACATTGTGAAATGCAACAGTAATTTCAGTTTCTGAGTGATCCTTGCCAGGAATCTCTGTAGCCTGGAGAGTGTGAGAAACTGCAAGGCAGGATTTCTCAATCATAGATAGCGTGAAACATAATTAAGAAAAACTGTGTTTAATAAACAACTCTACATCCAGGCTTAAAGGAGCTAAACTCATTGTGGTTAGCTAGAGGGCTGAGTTCATGTGATCCACTAATCACAGTTTAATTAAACTGTGTTTTTTCATTATGTCTGAATCAAACTGATATATGGCAGTCTTAATCCTGGAGACCAAACCAGCGAGAGTGAGTGAGGAGCAGTCCTAGTGTTGTGTATTAAGGGATTTTCTTTTACAGAATGTTGAGGCAAGTATAAGGGGCCCAGAAAGAGTTAAAGCCTCTGGTGATTTTTATTCTCTTATGTCACTGAATTTCATTTCAAGGAAGAGAACATCTACTGAGTCCTCCTCTCACTTTAATCTACACTGGGAGATGTGCATGTTCCTAACACTTGTTGAAAGCTGTAAGCTGCAGACAGAATCTGTGCCCCAGTTGTAACGTGCACAGACCTCATGAATAGCCATGTCACTTCCAGCTCTTAAGGTAGGGTAAATATGGATGGACAGCTTTGTATAACCAAACAGGAGTGCTAGCATCATAAAACTGTCTTGGACCTATGGCAAAAAGGAATATCTTCCCTTTCGCCCTTCTGTATACACAACACAACTAATGCCATAGTCCCTCCTCCAACAAAAAGACAAGACTTGGATGACCAAGGGGTAAAAGGAGTACTGAAGGATGATAGGGAAATGACTGAGAAGCTGAATGCATTTTTTGCTTCTGTCTTCACTGTGGAAAATTAGAAGTGCTTGCCCACTCCAGAACCACTGATTTTGGAAGGGGTGTTGAAAGACCTGAGTCAGATTGAGGTAATGAGAGAGGAGGTCCTACAGCTGATAGACAACTTAAAAACTAATAAATCACCAGGCCCGGATGGCATACGCCTGAGATTTCTGAAAGAACTCAAATTTGAACTTGTGGATCTCCTGACAAAAATATGTAAACTTTCATTAAAGTCTGCCTCCATTCCTGAGAGCTGGAAGGTAGCTAATGTCACCCCCATCTTTAAAAAGAGTTCCAGAGGAGATCCGGGAAATTACAGGCCAGTCAGTCTGACGTTGATACCGGGTAAGTTGGTGGAAACTGTTATTAAGGAAAGAATTAGTAGGCACATTGATGAATAAAAAACTACTGAGGAAGACTCATCATGGGTTCTGTAAGGGAAGATCTTGTCTCACTCACCTGTTAGTATTCTTTGAGGGAGTGAACAAACATGTGGACAAGGGGGACCCAATAGATGTTGTTTACCTTGACTTCCAGAAAGCTTTTGTTAAAGTTCCTCATCAAAGACTCCTAAGTAAGCTCAATAGTCACGGGATAAAATGACAAGTCCTTTTGTGGATCAAAAACTGGCTAATTAATAGGAAACAGAGAGTGAGTATAAATGGTCGATTTTCTCAGTGGAGAGTGGTAAGCAGTGGGGTACCACGGGGATCAGTACTGGGTCCGATGCTTTTGAACTTGTTTATTAATGATTTGGAGTTGGGAGTAAGCAGTGAAGTGGCTAAATTTGCAGATGGCACGAAGTTGTTCAGGGTGTGAGAACCAGGGAGGATTGTGAGGCACTCCAAAGGGATCTGTCGAGGATGGGAGAGTGGGCGTCAGCATGGCAAATGGGGTTCAGTATGGCCAAGTGCAAAGTGATGCACATTGGAGCCAAAAATCCTAAATATAAATACTCATTGATGGGGTCTGAAGTGACAGAGACTGACCAAGAGAGAGATCTTGGAGTCGTAATAGATAACTCAATGAAAATGTCAAGACAGTGTGCGACTGCAATAAAAAAAGGCCAACGCTATGCTGGGGATTATTAGGAAGGGACTTGAAAACAAATTAGCCAGTATCATAATGCCCTTGTATAAATCTATGGTGCAACCACATTTGGAGTACTGTGTACAGAACTGGTCACCACACCTCAAAAAGGATATAGCATTGGAAAAAGTGCAGAAAAGGGCAACAAGAATGATAAAAGGGTTGGAACAATTTCCCTATGAAATGCTTGGGGCTCTTTAGCTTGGGGCCCTTTCTCACAGTATAAGAACTCGTGGGCACTCCATGAAATTGCTGAGCAGTCAGGTTAGAACAGATAAAAGGAATACTTCTTCAACCCAAAAAGTGATTAACACATGGAATTCACTGCCACAGGAGGTGGTGGCAGCAACAAGCATGGACGGCTTCAAGGGGGAATTAGATAAACATATGGAGCAGAGGTCCATCAGTAGCTGCTAGCCACAAGGTATAGATAGGAACTCTCAGTCTGGGGCAAGTGATGCTCTGTATTTTTGGTGCTTGGGGGAGTACTGCTGGACCTCCTGATGGCACCTGGTATTTTTGGCCACTGTGTGACAGAGTGTTGGACTTGATGGGCCATTGGCCTGATCCAGCATTGGCTTCTCTCATGTTCTCATGTTCCAGTTTGGCAGAGTGATTTAAACAGTTCTTTCCAGTCCTGATCTTTGTATGAGCTGGTGACCAAGCCATACAATGGACAGAGGGGACAAATCCTGTTTCTGTTGAATATTAAATTATGATAATACTGAGCACTGACAGTATTTTCTCTTTCAGCTTGAGGCTAGCCAGTTGAAACAGCACAAACTACCAAAAGCCTTATGAAGCAGCTCCGTGGGAATAAGTCTGGGGGTCATCCCCAAAAGCGTTCTTCTTCTGATAAAGCCATTTGCCCCCCAGATGGACAGACTTCAGAAGAAAGCAGAGAGGCCCTCAGTCCTCAACTGTTGGCTCAAAAGCGATCTCTGCAAGGCTTGAGTGACATGATAGGTGGGACTGGGGAAAAAAGCACTAATGATGCCAAGAGACCAAAGTTGCTGCCTTCAGCAAATTCTACTGGCCAGGACTCCGAAGATGATGATTCAGATGACAGCGATTTTGAGAGAGTTGAGAGCGATAATGATGTCAGTGATGAAACGAGTAGTGATGATGGTGAAGATGACGACGATGAAGTTGGCAGTGATTCCTCAAGAAGCAATAATGGAGACTCAGATTCAGAAGACACAACAAGCGATCCTCTGTCAAAGCCTGAATTGACAAAAGGTAAACACTGATTCCTGTAAAGCTGAATAAACAGTGCATCTCTGTGTCAACCTATCAGAAGCTTTGAGCTTTTCTTTCTCTGGTGACTTCTGCTTCTGATTTAGCGTCCTAGATGTTCTTGTGTCAGTTCACACCAAAATATATTATGACCACCATTCATTTGGGTTTCTGACTCTGCTTCCTTTATTGCTTAATTGTCCTACAGTTTTTTATAACATCAGCTACTTTACATCTTTCACGCTCTCCCTGCCAGCAGAATAGCATTGATGATGTCTTTCTTTGCGATGTGCTTAATGTTTGTATACCCTTACACAGATTCTAAAGAAGTTGTGTTGCTCCATTTGAACAACCAGTTGCATTCTGTTTAATAGAAGCATTTTGTTAGAATCCAAACAGATGGTTCTGGTTTAATATGGAGCAACCAAAAAAAGACTTGTAGACTTAATGTTTAGTATTTTTTAAATTTAAAGTGTTTTATTTTCTCCTGCAATAAAAATCTCTCTAAACAGATATAACACCAAAAAATCACACCAAAAATCTCACATGACAAGGCTAAGGTCACAGTCCATATAACACTTCTAAATGGTAGAACACTGCACTGTATCAAACCAGCCAGGCAGAATACTTTTTAAAAAAACTCTCAGTATCCCATACCTCACCTTGTCTTCAATATGAGGATAATATTGGTTGGTCTAAGGTCACTTGGAATGAAATCCTAAACAGAGATACACTTTTCTAAGTTCATTAACTTCAGCAGATTTAGAGTGGTACAACGTAGTTTAGGATTGCACTGTTATTGAGCTCAAATCTGTGGCAGAATTTGAACTGGGAACTCTTTAATTCACACAGCCACTCTACTGCAACTCTACTTTTTGGCCTGATCAGAAGTGCCAAAACATCATTGTCCGAATCTTAAACAGTAGAGAAGAGTCTAGTAGCACCTTAAAGACTAACAAAATTTGTGGTAGGGTATGAGCTTTTGTGAATCACTGCTCACTTCTTCAGTGACTCACAAAAGCTCATACCCTACCACAAATTTTGTTAGTCTTTAAAGTGCTACTGGATTCTTTTCTACTGCTACAGACTAACATGGCTACCCATCTTGATAAATCTTAAATAATCTGGGCTAGTCTATATATTGGATAACAGCATGTACTTTCTTATGGTGGTCTGGGAGGAGTTCTTAGCTGTGTTGATTGTTAAAAACTGAGTAGTCTGTTTTTCCTTACACTGATCTGAATTGAGGTTAAAGAGAGTTTAAGGAATGTGTTGGTTTAAAATTAAGCGTTATGTGAAAGTTTGTTCTCAGTTTTCTCTCTAATGGCTCATAAACCTGAAGCAGTTTGCCACTGGTTTTGGTCATGAAACATTTATGTGCATTGATGTCCCTCTCCAAAAGTTGGTGCAAAATGCTGAAAACTATAGGACGGGGAATTGGGGAATAAAGAGTACTTGGAAACAAATGTTGGGTCCAGAAACTAGCATCTTTTGTGTGAGTCATGTTGCCTGCTGCGGTAAGCAACTGAACCTTGTACTAAATCAGCTTAGTTACTATATAAGAAGCCAAATTTGCCTCTTGGTAATTGTGCAGATTTCCTTCCATTGTTAGGTCTGTTGAGAATCAACTGTAGTATGGAGTCCTAAATATATGTTGCAATTTTCAGCCAAAACTATCATTTCGTCACCTCCACAGAACAAGCGTATTAGAGTATTGTGATACTGTCAGCAATAAGCTATCTGGAGCGTTGATAGAGAACAAATGATGCCACTCAGACATGTTTTTTCATCATAAAAATATGTTTGCTAAGTGCAATAAGTAATGTGATATTATATCTGCAGGGGTCATTTTGTAGAAAAAGAGGTGCAGGAGCTCATTAGCATAACTCATTAGCATAACTTATTTGCATATGCCATGCCCCCTGATCACTGGAAGTGTGTCAGAAGGCAACACCCACTGCAACTTACCTAGCTGCTTCTTGCTCCTTGTGGCCCGGGTCTGCTGGGAGCAGGGGGCGGGGCTTATTGCATGTGCCCACCCCCTGGACTCTACTGCTGGAGCTCCGCTCCTGTGCACTCCTGCAGGAAATGACCCCTGGATATCTGGAAAAATGAGACTTCCTAAGGCAACCTTTTCGGTTGACATTCGAGTTGCTGTTTTAGTACAAAACCCCCAAGATTTGCTTGTAAGAATTAAGCTGTGGTGGAAATCTCCCAAAACTAAACAGACATTATGAAGCTCAGGCTTTTAGACTCTTGCTTGCCTTCCTTTCAGGATTGGTCCACTTGAATATATTCAGATTTCATTTATTTGTTGCATTCCCATTATCGTATACCGGAGTCCCATAGCCATAGCTTATTGTGGAGTTCAAAAATATACACAAATAAAAAATGAAATTTCTTTTACACTTAAATGGTTCCAAGTGCTACATTGCTCAGACAAATGCCAGTTAATCTTGAAAATCTTAATAAATTGTTGAGTGTTGGCAGTACCAAGAGTGATGCTTTTACATGAATTAAAAATGGCTGATGTACCACAAACAATGCACAATTATAAATAGCAATGTAGTTAATTGGGAAGGTGTCTAATGAGTTCAGCAGGGATGTGGATTAAGTCTCATTTAGCATAATAAATGGATCTGGGAGAGGGAGCAAAAAAGCACTAATGAAATTCAAAAATGAAAATAGAAGGTGATGAAAACACAGTGGTATACAAATAATAGATGATTCTGTGGAGGTACAAAACATGGCAATTTAAAATGATTCTTTTGTACAGGATAAATCAGATGAGGCAAATTAAACACTAGAAGAAAAGTAGAAAAATGTTGCATGGAGAGGTGTTCATGGGAAGTAATTGGTCCTTTTTGTAATCTCTTGCACGAACGCACAACTTGGAACAATCTACCAAATTACAGATGCTGAGCATGGGAAGAACAGCAAGGAAAAAGAGACTGTTTCATAGGCACCCTAATGCAACATCAAGTAATGGCATTTTATCACTGTCCAAAAAATAATAACTTTAAAAAGGGAGGAGCTTGGCTTCTTTCTGATTTATGCGAATACTCTTCTTTGCATTGTGGCAGGATTGGTGGTCTGGAAAGAATGGACTGGCAGCCCAGATTTGCACCAACTCTACCATTTGCCAGTCTGTCTTATAGCATTTAATGGCATGATGGTGACTTATCTGATAACTAGTTACTATTTGGATGATGGGTAGCTGTGGAAAGAAAGCGCTAAGAGGAATAAATACGTTGAAAGTATAGGGAAGAGACAGAAAAGACTGCAGAATTATGACATATGTGGGAGTGTTTTGAATTTCGGTTGCCTATTTTTTTAAATAAAAGATCTAAGAATGAAAAGCCTGGGGATGGGCCTCTGATATCATGAGAGCTATAAAGTGAGTTTGGAGGTTTTTATCACAATTTTATTTTATGGTGGTTATGTAGTGCTGTAATTCTGCCTGGTGCTTTGGAGAGATTTCAATCTATATTAGGCAAATGCCAGTTATGAGAGGAGGAAAGGGAAAGGCGTGGGATGAGGCTTAATAATACAAATAAAAATGAGTTATAGTGAGTGAATTCAGCCCAGCAATTTGCAAAAAGAGACTTCAGTGAGGAGAAATAGACAAGCTTTGGAAAGCTACTCAACCATGGTTCAAACAGAATATGAATTGTGTGAAGTGTCCCCCCCATTTCCATGAGAAAACCTCTGCAGATGTCAAAGACACAGGGTTGTCTCTTCCAAACTCAGCAGACAGCATCCAGTAACCACCACTCAGACATGTGCCAAATTTGGCAAAAAGGACTGGGGTAGATTGGTTTAAATTAAAGCTCTTTAAGCTAACAAGCTGAAAGCCCCTATTTGAATAATCATTTTTAATTAGCTTTTCCATTTGTATTACATGTGTTTGGGAGAAAAGCACATTCCCATTGGTAAATGCTGCCATTAAACAAATTGACTTCTTCCAAATTGCACTAAACCTAGTACATCTTTTTGCTATTTAGCAAAGTACCCAGTGACTTTATCCATGTAGTGAAGCAATTAAACATAATTCTCAGGTTTGTGTTAATTGCTGTTATAGCATAACCCCCCCCCCCCCCCCCGTTTGGTCAGAAGGCCTGTTGAGTTCAGTGGGACTGACTGTTTAATAAATGTGCTTCTAATTCAAGCTTAATATGATAGACAACTTTAAAGTAGAGCAGTGAACACACTCAAGTGGTAAATCTGACTTTCACATGGGCGGATACAACTAAGAGGTCTGGACTGGTTGTGCACGTATGGAACTCAGTCTGGATTTGGGCCAAACTGGATTCTCTTCATTGGATTTGAAGCCTGGTTTTAGCAGCAATGATTTTACCAACTATTTGCATCAAATAGTATTCTCTGCCTCACTCAGATCAAATCCTTTGCTAGTGAGCCATTGCCTTTTTAAAACTTGTATTGCATTTTAAATACACTTTCTAACCACAAAGAGCCAGAATTCATAGATTTTTCAAGAAGACGCTCAGTTCCACAAAGTTTGATACCTTCCTCCAGCCTAGGGAACCTTCTTCTAACTTGAGTGGCTCCACATAAGTTAAAGGAAGGGTTCAAACTTTGCTCGTTGGACCCCAGGGATTCCAATCATTCCTTTTAAAAAAAATAAATGAGCACCCTGTTATTTTCTCCCTCTTACCCCACTGAGCTAGAGGCAGATGGCATTTAGCAGTCAACGTGTGCATGTCTCTGTCATTGTATGTGATTTAGTGGGCAGTGACTGCACCTAACCAGGAGTCTTGTCTTTCTTTTCCAAGCATATGTGCTAATTGTGAATTTGGTAGCTTTTTTTGCTTGGTTGTTCCTTTTGACCCTCCGTTTGTCACCTCTTGAGATTGGCTTCCCTGCTTAATAGCCTTGGATGGCCTTTAAGCATGAAAGAGTTAGCCTGTGAGGAAGCAGATGTATGGGAATGAGTTCCATGAGAGCAAGTCTGAATGACTGATTAGAAGAGATTAGAAGGCGCA